TGTCCTGAGCTCACTCACAGAATGCAGGAACTCAGTCTCTTCCTTAAACTGAAATAAATCATGTCTTCTGATTGTGTGTATGCTCTAATCACTAGTTAGTGGTGGAAGGTCCCTCAATTTTGGCCTGTTGGAACTGAGCCATTGATACTCCAGTGAAAACAAAAATCCATGGTGCAAAGAAAGAGAACACTTTCTTCTGCTGTGCAGATTTGGGCTGCGGGGTGGAAGGAATGCTTCCTGGACCCTCTTCCCTGAGATGCTCATTGACACTGGTTTTGTTCATTTTGCTATATTCACAGCGGAGAGTTTTGCTTTACTTTGGATCTTGCTTTACTGCATCAATAAGTAGTTTTGGCAAAACTGGGTACTCCTGTTTGTCACTGTCTTAGACACTTCTGCTTTTTTGGTTTGCTTTCTGCATACCAAACAAAGGGTAGGTGTTTCCTCCAAATGAAAGGGCTGTTATATGCTAAGTATTCTGTATGTTTTTGTGAATCTAGCCCAAATGTTGTATTGCCCATTGTATCTGACCATTCATTTTGAGTAGGAAAATACTGGTCTACAGTTGGTACAATCTCTATCCCTTAATGGTTGAAATTATTTGTTAAGTGTTCATTGAAAAGATTAACGCTTTTAAATTACTGACTTCCTACACACTTCATTCACCCTTCACAAATTACCTGCTCAAGATATAAAATAATAATGAAGAAATAGTGCTTGCTGTTTTACACTGTACTTCATGTAAAATAATTCTGCAAATGTCTTCTATAATGAATATGTATAATAAGTCTTTAGCTTATCACAGGTCTAGTCATGAATGGAGAAAGAGAAAAGATACCATCTTATTCAGTTGGTGTAATTAAATTAATCGATACATTCAGTGCTACAGGCCACCGGACCAGGAAGACTGAGTGGATGAGGCCCTCTATAAACAGATAGGAGAGTCTTCACATGGAGGACCTCAGCCACCATTGCATCTGTTGAAAGGACAACACAGCAGGGCACCAGCAATCAAAGAGGTTCCTGTAATGTGTCAATGACAATTTCCTCTTCCAAGTAGTACAGGAACCCACAAGGAAAGGTGATGGTGCTGAACCTTGTCCTCACCAAAGAGGAGGGGGCTGGTGAGTAACGTGAAGCTCAAGGATAGCCTTGTCTGACCGACCACGGAATGGAAGAGTTCAAGATCCTTAGGACATCAAAGAGAGTGCACAGCAAGAATACTACTCTGGACTTAAGAGAGCAGGCTTTGACCTCTTCAGGGAACTGCTTAGCAGGATGACATGGGATAAAGTTCTTGAGGGAAGAAGGGCCTAAGAAAGCTGGTCAGTATTGAAGGGCCATTTTTTCCAAGCCCAGAAGCAGTGCATCCCAAGAAAGAGGAAGGTGGGCAAGAATACCAGGAAGCCTCTGTGAATCAACAAGGAGCTCCTGGACTTTATTTGGTGCAAAAAAAAAGTCTATAGGGAGTGGAAGCAGGAAATGTTTATCTTAAGGACGACAGAGAAGTTGTCTGAAGAGCCAGGGATCAGGTTAGAAAAGCTGAAACTTAAAATTAAATCTAGCCAGAGACATAAAGGGGAACTTAAAGACTTCTTTACCTCAGTCTTCACTGACGAGGCCTCTAGCCACACTGCCCAAGCTGCAGAAAGCAAAGGTAGGAGCTGGGAGAAGGAAGAAGGACCTGAAGGTGCACAAGTCTATGGGACTCATTGAGATCCATCCAGAGGTTCTGAGGAAACTGGCAGGTAAGGGTCATCGTAGTCTGGTGAAGTTTCCACTGATTGGAGAAAGGGAAACATAACCTCCATTTTCAGGAAAGAATAAAAAGAAGATCCAGGGAACTACAGGCCAGTCAGTCTCACCTCTCTTCCTGGCAAGATCATGAAGCAGATCCTCCAGAAGTCCCTACTAAGGCACATGGAAAATAAAGATGAGGTGATTGGTGGTAACCAACATGGCTTCACCAAGTGCAAATCGTACCTGTCAAACTTGGTGGCCTTTTATGATAGAGTTACAGTGTCACTGGATAAAGGAGGAGCAACTGATGTCATCTACTTGGATTTGTGCAAAGTGTTTGACGCAGTCCCGCACAACATCCTAGTTGTCGAATTGGAAAAAAATTGATGTAATGGATGGAGCAGTCACTGGATAAGGAATTGTCTGGATGGTCACACTCAGAGAGTCGTGGACAATTGTTCAATGTCCAAGTGGAGTCCAGTGATGAGTGGTGTTCCGCAGGGATCGGTGCTGGGACTGGTGTTATTTAATATCTTTGTAGGTGATGTGGACAGTGGGGTTGAGTGCAATCTCAGAGAAGTGAGTGATGCAGTTGACATGCTAGAGAAAGCCCAGAAGGATAAACCATATCCTGAGTTGCATCAAGAGAAGTGTGAACAGAAGGTCAAGGGAAGTGATTCTGCCCCTTTACTCTGCTCTCATGACACCCCACCTGGAGTACTGTATCCAGTTCTGGGGCCCCCAGTATAAGAAGGACATAAGGCTGTTAGAGTGGGTCCAGAGGAGGGCCACAAAGATGACTGAGGGGCTGGAGCACCTCTCCTACAGGGACAGGCTGAGAGAGCTAGGGCTCTTCAACCTCGAGAAGGCTCTGAGGGGACTTTATAGTGGCATTCTAGTACCTGAAATGGTCCCATAGGAAAGCTAGGGAGGGACTTTTATAAAGGCATGTAACAACAGGATGAGGGGAAATGGCTTTAAACTGGAGGATGGTTGATTTAGACTAGGTATTAGGAAGACATTCTGTGAGAGTGGTGAGACACGAAACAGGTTGCCCAGTGTGAAGCTGTGGATGCCCCCTCCCTAGAAGCATTCAAGGCCAGGCTGGATGGGGCTTTGAGCAACCTGGTCTAGTGGGAGGTGTCCTGCCTATAGCAGGGGGGTTGGAACTAAAGGATCATAAAGATCCATTCCAATCCAAATCATTCTATGATTTCATTACCACTACATTTTTTCAGCTTTTTCTAGCATATCTACCAGATCAAAGCCATAATGAATTAAGACTAGAGATACTTTTCCATCCTCATTTGAAAAATACAGTGAAGGATGTACACTTATTTAAGCACTGGACTGAGATTTGTCCACTATATATTGGAAAATGACCTATATAGTGAAAGTGCTGACACTGCATTAATTTACAGCTTGCATAAGGAGGGTCAGGAAAGTAAAGTGCCTATAAGCTATAAATAGGATGCATTTGTCAATTGCCTTGCCCAGGCAAATTGTACTCGCTTTTCACCCTGCACTGTTGTGCTTTATGGTTCTTGGACAAGTGATGAAGCTCTCTATTCAAGTGCTTAATTTATGTACATCTTTCAAAACCAAAATGTCTCTGTAGTTTATTAGAGTGGTGCTATCCAAATTTGTCACCAGTAATGTAACCACTAATCCCTACAGAGTGTCCATCTATTTTCTTATAAGTTTACTTACCTACTTTAGGCACAACTTTGTTTATCTCTGAAACTTTTATACGAAACTCTTGTGATGACAGTCTAACATACACTTTTTATTTTCCAGCATCTCTCTGAGAATCATGCTTAATACAGGCTCATGAAGTGCCTAATGTTTAGATGTAAAAGAGGTGTCTAAATCAGTGAAACTGAATTCAGTTACCTATCTGTTTCCTAAACTGGGTTATCCCCATAATCTCAACCCCCAGTAATCTATATAAATCAGCCACAGTGCCTCTCAAACTTTATAGGATAAAACTACCTTGCCTCACTTTCTTGATAAATTGTTTCAATTTTAAAAGTTTGGTTTGTCTTCCAGTCTTCCTACTCACACTGAAACAAACAAACAAACAAACATATACATATATATATATATATATATGAAATTTTATTTATCTATTTTTGTTACGCAAAAGGTCTCTGGTCCCCCTCTAAACAATATCTGTGCAGCATTTTGTCTACATTTGAGTAGCTAGGATGCATTTCGTAGCTAGGATACAATTTTTGTTAACATAAAAGCAAAAAATGTTTTTAATTTCATAGAGACATGTAGTTGTCTGGGATGACACCTAAAAATACTTGAATGACATCTATCACACACTTTCCACTTTTCTTCTTCAAAACATGGAATTTATAACTGTACTTGAAATTATAGTGTCTTCCATTAATATATGAGTTAATACATTTCCCTTTTAAGTAACAGCCAGCCAAAAAGTAAGGAAATTACTAATAGATCTTCAGGCATCTCCATGTAAGGGCTCCTTCCTTCTCCAATGGCATGTGTGAAAGGTCTGACTTGCACAGGATGTATTTGGAGCAGCATTAGAAAATGGGGAGAATCTTTTGCTACTCTTACAGCAGCTATCTGCTCTTTGTAAGAGTGTCTTCTCTATATAATGGTATCATATGACAACAGTTTTAAGACCAGGTTGTTAGAAATATGGACTGCTCATCACAGTCTGGGACCTATTTTGTGTATTTCAAAGGATTGTGTTCGTGTAGCCTTTGCTGATGCAAGGAGGATTCTGCCATTCATTTCTTCATAGGAATTCACTTCTGTGGCTTTCAGACATGAGACTGAAGGAAGGCAATTCTAATTTATTCATCTTCTGTATTTTTAGGGTAAATAATGATAACTGAGAGTGGGAGAAGTAAGTTAAGCACAGCTTTAAACCCTTCTGAAGGAGAAGATTACTTCAAATTATTAACAGTGTTGCTTGATTGCTTTTCTTTCAGCTGTGGTACAAACGATCTTTCCCTAAGGAAAAAAAAAAACTTTAATTCTTACCTGTATGTGTCTGTTTATTTCTTTAATTGTACATATCCAAATGGGAGCACTCACCAACCATTCACCATTTCACAAGGCTAAGCCAGGGCACTCTATGGTAGCTGCAGTATTTCAGTTCATAGTCCTACTAGAATGTGTGGACAAGATGCTCCATGGGATTGTGATTTGCAGGTTGGAAGGTGGTTCACACCTCATGCCAAGAAAATTAACCTTTTTTATCATTGTCCTCTTCTCGCTAACAGGTTATTCATCAGCTTAGACTTTCTGAGAATGAGAGTGTGGCTCTGCAAGAGCTTCTAGACTGGAGGAGAAAGCTGTGTGAGGAGAGAGAAGACTGGCAACAAATCTTGCACAACACTGAGCAAAGAATCACAGCCCCTCCCCCACCCCCTTGTAAAAAACCAACACTGCTGAAGAAGGTGGAAGATGCCTCCTGCAACAGACTATCGTCAGGCATATGGGACACCACCATGTGATTGGAATGTGTGTGTTTGCAGATAGTTGGGAGTGAAACCATCTCATGCCTTCAGTCTGCACAATCAGCAAGTTTCCTTCCCTCCACAGAATGTGCAGGGTTTTTTTTACAAGCAATCCTTCAAGAGCACAGGATGGAAGAGCTATTTAGATCTGTCATGTGTGCGTGTGTGTGTTTGTCCTTTTCATACATATATATATACAAATATGCATATATCTGTGCATCTGTATATATGTATGTGTGTATATATATATAAGGTGACAAACTGCACTATAAGAATATAAAGGTAGAAAACAGTCACTTAGGAGTTCTCCTGTGGACAACAAAGAAGCTATGTCAAACAAATGGTGGCAGGGAGAAGTGACTGACAGGCATTTTAGAGAGATCAGGAAAGTCTGTGTGCACACTGTACAGCTGTTTTATATAGTATAAAAATATGATGTTTCTTGTTCCCTAATGAATGGTTTTATTATATTACATATATGCATATATATATTTCTTTGTAGATGTCTGTGTTCTATTGGAGTTGCAAACCCAAAGTTTATTTACATGTTTATTACTGGTGTTTTATAACTTTACTCAATTGGTGCTGTTGTTCTTTCTTCAAAATACAGGTAATAAATTCAACGCTCACATTTTTCTTTCATAGTTTATCTTTAACACCATACCAGCCAGTTTCAACGCTGCGTTATTTGTTCAGAGCCAGCAAAGTCCTTTCTGGAGTCCAGTCCTGACATCCTTGAAGAGCTCCTATTTGCACATTTTGTTTCAAGGTCTTCACACTCAAGAATTAGAGAGCATAACTTTCTTTCTGTGGACTTATGTTTCTGAATGGGTGAACTGTGCATTCTATGGTTACATCTCAAATCTTACTTCATTCTGGTTTTATAAAATAATGAGACACTCATTTAAATTATAAGTACGGTTTGGAACTCATACCTGATTATGCATAAGGTCAGGTGTCAGTGGGAAGATACATAACGTTAATGAGGTATGAAAATAGGACTGTGATTTACTGTTAAAAGCCAGAAGGCTTCATTGAGATGGGTATATCTAAGGATTATGCTCTTATAGTGGCACAGTGATGCATTTATACCTTGAATTTTGTGTAATGAAATGGTTTCAGAAATTGAAGCACACTTGTTGAAGAACATGAGTTCTGAGCAGGAATGTTAATTTATGAAAAATATGCTACCGGAAACTTGTTAGCTACTGCTTAACAGCCTTTGAAATACTGCTTTACAACTAAAGGGAGTGATTGATGTGTATACAGAGATATTTTCTCAGAGTATTTTAAGTTCTTGGAGCATGTGCACCCAGTTTGAAGCACTCTTCTTGGCTGTTTGCCAGTTTCCTATCCAGATCCAGGAGAAAGTACTTCTAATTTTGCAAGTGGATATAAAAATGTTTAAGATCTAAGCAAGATTTGTAAATGTGAGCTCATCTTGTTTGGAAGTTGTTGGGAAGGGAAGACAGCCTGCACAGAGATGCAGCCTCTTCTGCCGTATTTGGCAGGCACTTCAAGCAGGATGAATGGCAAAAAGCAATCCCATGCATGTTTGTTTGTTTTTATTTACAGGGCAAGCAGCAGAACTCAAATTGTACCCAGGAGTATCATCAAGCTGTAGGCAAAATTAAGTGCCTTCTCTTGCTGGAGATTAAAACAGATATGTTGAGTAGACAAGGAAAGGGAGACAACAGGTTAGCTCTTAAATTAATTATGCAATGATTGGTTTCTGATACTTAGGGATGGATATCACCCAGAACAGAATTTTACAGCAACAACAGCAGAAGTGCTCTCTTACACACTAGATTGAGAAGCAGGGATTCTGGATTCTGAACCTTACCTTCAGCTGATGTCAATGTCCGCAGCACAGGACCACTGTGGTGTTGTGCAGGAAACAGCTCTCACCTGCTGAACAGCCACAGCAGGACAAGATTTGGCCTGGAAGAGTTGTGGTTTCTGCCTTTTGCTCAGATAATCAGGTGCACACAAAGATCCTTGTCTGAGAGCAAAATGAAATGCTCAAATTGGATGCAAGAAAGCTAATTAACCTAGCCTGGGTACTACAGAGCTTCCACGATTCAAATTGCTGTCTCTGCCCAGCCCATCATTGCTGTACATAGCCACAAGAGCATCTACCCAGCTAGCTTAGCCATCCTGCACACATTAAGATCAGGCTTATGTCTGCTCTGATAGGCAAATAGCCCTCCCATAGGCTCTGTCACACCGCTACCTCTAATGACCACTGGCTGGCTTGGCAGCTGGTGGCAATCAACCCAGGGCAGCATGAAGTACGTTTAGGGCAAGTTGTAAAGGCTGCCCAAGAAGTCAGCTGAGATCATGTCAAGATCCCTGCTACTGGCAGACCTTGCCACCAGTCACCAAGCCAGCTGTGTGCAAGGTAAGGTTTTGTATCTCCAGACTGCACTGCTGTCATCACTGCATTTGTACCATGGAAGGGCCCAGAGGGCAGAGAATGCACTTGTCAATCGGTGTTTACAACAGAGTTGTGCAAATGATGTTACAGGAACAACGTCAGCTGCAAGAGCTCAGTTGTAGTGCTCTACCAAAATCTGTATTGCATCCTCATAGAGCAGTGTGGAAGAGCAGTCACTAGATTTGCCAGCAGTTCCAGCAGTGCTGTTACCCAGGTGAAGCTGGTATGAGCCTGATGCAGTTTGGTTCTTCACCAAGGGCACAGCCCATCCTGCCTCCCCTGCTGAAAGCCTTTGTTCTGTTTTTAGCCAACTTGTGTAAGGAATATATCTTCTAGGTCTCTTCCTTAGAGCACGTAATCCCAGCACGATATGACAAACTCAACAGCAGAGAAGATGAGACCTTTTTCCTTCGATTTTGTTACTAATTTCAGGGTATGCGATGGCCAACTTCTGACTTGGGAGGGTTTTTCAGGATGTTCATGTAAAATATAGTACAATCGGAAAAGTATTTGTGTTAAAACGCATTTAAATATTTCTCTGATGGCAGCAAGACACTCTGGAGTGTGACTTATGATGTCATAATTCACACCTCATATGTTCACTGGTCCCTTGGTCTTTGGCCTCACGCCTAACAGTGCAATTGGTGGGGAATTATTGCACCATAATTCACACCCTACTGTGTCTTATTGCTTAAATAACCATACTCTCAGAGGTGTCTTAAAACTACCATTAAAGTTTATATTGTGTATCAAAGTGTGTTTACAGGGCTGGGAAAATATACTATTGGCATTTTGAAATGTTGAGAAGCAGTTTTAGCAAACTGTACAGCGCTTATAAATTAATCTCCCCAGTGGAAGTACGCACCAGCCAGTCCAAGTATTTCTTGAGTGTATGGAATCCTCTCTTGCACATTAAAAAATAGAGTAGACAAAAAAAAAAAAAAAAAAAAAAAAAAAAAAGCCTTACGATTTTAATATTCTAAGGGGAAATATTAAACTCTATGAACATGCTAATGCCCTTAATATCCAATGAGCAATCTAAAAGGTATTTATATTTGCAATAAAGCAATTTCAGGAAGCTGGGGTTATCATCAGATAATCGCTCCTCCACATTGTGCCTTATTGCTTAATTTTTAATATGTGAAACAAACAAAACTAATTCCAAATCAGCTTCTCTCTCTCAGCATGATGTAAGAAGAATCAGGTATGTTTTACACTTTAAAATCCAAGGGAATTTGAAAACCATATTAAACCACAATAAAAAAAACACTAAAAACAACAGCTGTTGGCATGAGAAATGTTCAAAGCTTGTGAATCTTACTGGTTACTCCTGAAATAGCACTTGGTGTATTTTAGTTGCTGTAGTTACATTCCTATTGCAGTTTATAAGCAGAAATTTGCTTTTTAAAACTTGATTTAGACATCCAGAAAGATACACGCACCGATATTTTACGAATGATCTGTGTACAGCATGAAATGATAATCCTTTTAGAACTTTGTATTGTTTACACAAAATAGTATGATTGTCGAATAAGTGAATTAAACTTCCCTTTTTGCCAGTGATCCTTTTTATTCCTTTTAAAAGGTTGACTTATTTTCATTAACAACTTCACTTCATTGCAGATCCTTTGTGTGTGGGACAAAGAATTTCATTAACTTGCTAAGAAAGCACAGTGGAATGTAGCATAGTTCTAAAGTGATCGTAGCAGCCATATTCTCTGTAGTTTTACATTCTGCTCTATGATACTGAGATCCCTAGTAGCCACATCATTCTTATCACCATAAAGAGTGCTAATATCTGAAATACTCCTAGGAACCTAACATAATTCTTGCCATTCACTTGTTAAACAATACATGTGATTACATTTTGTATGACTCTGTTTTCCAGAATGGTATTAAACATTTCATGGCTTTGTGTTCTAAATACGCAGATTTAAAAAAGAAAACCTAACATGAGCATAAGTATCTCAGAGTATCTGAAAAAAACACAGGGGCATGTAAGGAAATGCTTTTCTTCCAGTTTTGCTGTTCTCTGTGTGCTCAGGATTTTCATTTTCAGAAGAAATAAATAAATTCTTGTGCTGGTTTATATTGTGGCTGTGAGAATTAGATCATTAGCAAAGGCTGGCTGTGTCTCCGTCTGTGGTTTGGCCCCTTTCCTGACCGCATGGATGCATGCTGAAACTGGCCAAAGCGCAGACTTTGCTGTAGAATGTCATAGGGAGAAATGTTGTGATGTTAAATCAGAAAGAATTCTTGAGGATTTTTCTTCAGTATGATAAACAAAACCATTTTGAATTAGCAAGAAGCATTTAGATTGATCAGAATTAGCTTGTTTTGGTTCTTATACATGTGTGTAAATCTCCCTCTTAATCCTTTCATCTTTCCTTTCTTATCACCGTAACTAAATTTTAAAACAGGCTTTTCTATTGAAAGTGAAGAAAAAAGATTAAGAAGATGGAGGAGTTACATGAAACTACAGAAAAGCCTTAAGGTTTTTGTTTTTAGTGAAACAGTTTACTTTAAAAATACTGGAACAGAATATTCCAGTATTTTCAGAATGTTTTCACCTTTTCCAGCTCGAGCTGTTTGCTGAGTACACTCTGAGTTTACACATTTTTCACAGGCATCATTCTTCATAAATCCACTCTGAAAAGACCACACGGATGTATATTTGTTTTGAGATGCAAGGGAACTGCTGAGGTCCTTAGAGGCACAAGTAGGGAGAATTTGAAAAGCGCAGATTTATTGCCATCATAGCAGTGCCCATGTGACAGCTATTGGATAATGCCTGTGCCTCCACTGTTATAATCTGGGCTTCAGATCCTTCTCCATTTACATGTTACTCCCCTATCATCTCTTGATTTGCATTAGGCTCCAGTAAGTGAAGGGGGCTGAATCTGTCATCCAAGATAGGATGGGAGAGAAATGTACTCCAGGCTCTTTCTAATTATTGATTAATATAAAGTACTTAAATGTTTCTGATAATTTGAATTGGAATACAGCTTTCTCACTGTCCAGATGAAATTGAATCACTAGGTTAGGAACCTGTGGCTATGAACGTCCATGCTGAAATGAATGGTTATAAATCTATAGCTCCTCTGCCTCTCAACATGACATAATGTGGTCAGCAGGAAAATGT